GGGGGACTGATTAATATTCCTCAACATCCGTCTCTGCAATATCTCCTTTCATTGTAAGTCTTGTCTGTCTACCACCGAACTCATCTCCCAATACTCGTATAATAAGAAAAATTCACAGCAAATGTAGGCTCTGTGAACTCAAATTAAACTCCGGAATGGCTCGAGACCTGGACATATCGACATGGGCGTGAGGTAAGCGGCTTTGGCGAGTCATTCCTTACTGTTGCGTAATGAGCTATTAGTCCGATTAATGGTGCACGACAGGTATGTCAACTATCCAAACATTGTCAGCTTCGGCGTTGGTTGGCCAGTTTATATAATTATAATTTGTTTGGGGTCTCTCTTTAATCATTAGAATTCAAACTCAAGACTAGTTTTTGTAAATAACAGGTACCTCGAAGGTCCCAATGGAAGGTCTTATTCTAATGCATTAGTTTGTTAATTAGCTTGATTGTTTATTTATTTGTGTTTTGTTTTGGGATTTCATGTTCTTATTTTTTTAGTTTGCTTTGTTTTAAAGGGAGTGGTTCGAGGGCACGCGGGGGGTCTGTCGGATGTTAGCTTTCTCCAAGAGCTCTTTAGATCATTATTCAGCCTACACTGTTCTTTTAAGCACATTATGATATTATGTCTATCCAAGTTCACTTCACGTTACCATATTGATGAAAAAAATCCCATGTGATCCACGTATGAGGTTTGGGATACAGAACATGGTCAGTGAGCGTCCATTGAATAAAGGAATTTGTCTCACAGGTCAGTTTTTGTTTCTTTGTTTGCTTTTCTTTTGATACGTGACAAGTTCAGTGCGAAGAGGATGAGACCATGTCATCACTGAATGCAGATACATTGATATAACATGGAAACTTGGGCAAAGTCTGTATGTTTAACAAATTGTCTCCAGGGCATTTTCATGATTATTATAATGTAAGTGCAGAGGTTTTGGGCCCCCATCAGCTTGATTTAAATATTGGAAGGCGCTTGCTACGACACAAACCTGTTAGAGCCAACCTGGGCAGACACGGATACAACATCTAAGCAGGTAAACGAAGATACTCTTTTTAAAACTGTCCTCATACGACAGCAAAACGCCAAACTGCTGCACCACATTGCCATGCCTTTCATCAGGAGCATAAGAAAACACGCTGTAGAAAAAAGGACTGATGACTGTGCCGTGTGTATAAGCATATGGAGGAAAAGAGAACTAGCGCCACTCATAGATGGTGTCAGTTTTACCATAAGGTGGATGTCGTTCTTTAACTTGCACTTCTTACATCATGCTGGACTGCGGAGCAGATGACCAAAAGTTCTTGATTCAAGCGTCTTTTTGTGGGGGGGGGGGGGGGGGGAGAAATAAAATTTGCCTTGCTCAAAGGCCGAAACGGAGATGGGACTAACCGCTGAAAACGGCACTGTGGGGGAGCGGGTGGTGGGGAGGGCGATTCAGGCCTATTTTTGGAAGGGACATTGAAATTCGGATGTCCCTCCTCTTACACAACCTTTCAGCGTTGATACAGGAGTTAGATCTGTACCAAAAAACACATCTTCCTACGCTATGGCCGAGCAACTAAATTCGCAAAAAGAATCATCATCTAAAACATAAGTAGATATAATTATTTTTAACTTACCTGCTCAAAGCACGAAACCAACGGTGCCGATTAAAAAACAGAAAGAAATTATTATTGTATCACCGAAATAGAAGAAGATCAGTGAAGCCAGTCACCATTTTCATCAAAGCCACAGCTTGTCTGCCGACCGCGCGACTAGTCAGCTCGCTCTTACCACAACACGACTGAAATATTATTATCATTATGCAGCACAATAGTATCCAAAAGCACAATACCCGGTACAGTCGAAGCACTCATTAATTTCCATGCTTAGATGCTGTGTCTACTGCATTTTGCCGTCTGTTCTCCTGCAAAACGGTACAACAGAGCGGCCATATGTTACCACATCATACGTACGTCGTTTTATCACACAGGCACCAGCTGGGTCGAACGTTCCCCTTCCTTCCATTCTTCTTCTCTCCTCTCCTCATCTCAGCGAGTCGGTCTTACTCCCGATTCCCGCGGAAAATGGAGGACGAAGGAAGAGGAGGGTGAGGTGGATGAGGAGTTTTCCAGCGACAGCTTGGCCGAATGACGTCAGTAGTGACCGCTGGTATCGAACGGGAGTGCAGTTTGTGGGGAGGGAACGGCGGGGGAAGGAAGGGGAGAAGGAGGAGGAGAGATGGTGGACGACGAGGAGGAGGGGGCAGATGGTGGAGGAGGAGGAGAAGAGGATAGGAGGGCAAATTGTGAGGAGCCTGAAATAGAAACTGG